CACCTTCCTTTTTTTTTGTCAAAGCCAGGAAAATCTAACATTTTTTAAAAATGAAGTTCATATGAAATGACATTGTAAACAGATTCAAATGTTCACATATTTTATTTTTGCAAATTAATGACGACTGGATACATCAATAAATAAAATTTGCTCTAAAACGTATAGGGAAAATTCATCATTGGTTCATAAACTCAACAAATATCTTAAGCATATAAAGAAAAGTTATTTAAAAATCAAAGGCTGATAAACAAAATAAAACAAACTTAAGAAGCCAACTGAGAAATAATAAGCATAATCTTTTAAAGCAATACTATTGGTCTTAAAATACGTACTAAATGAGACAGATCACATTCTAAAAACCAAATAAAATATTTCAAATGCTCGTGGGATGTGAGAATATTTGTGCTCAGCAGCACTGTGCAAGGACCTTCTTACGGATTTGAATGGATACAAACTTGCCAGTTATTGGTGACATTTCTATGTGGCCACCTATCTTCTAGAAGATAGAAAATCAGTTTTTTGATGTTGAAGATAAAAAAATCCATTGACATTCTCTTGAATAGATTCAGTATGTCACACATACACAAGCGATATTTTCTGAAATAGTAAAATCAAATAAAGGAATTTAACCCCTATATTTTTACTCTAGTCATAAAGCGTTAAGAACATATAGCATTTGTTATTTAAAAATCACTTTTTATACCACTACTCTGGGGACAAATAGCTTTGGATATTGCCTTTATTTTAATCTAACCATGTGTAAACATCTGTCACAAAAAGAAAACCAAAATGAACCCATTAAAAAAAAAAGAAGCAAGAAAACCCAAATCCCAAACCAAACCAATCAACCAACCAAAAAAGAAACTTCCATGTATCTTGATAATATAAAATTGTTAAATGTTAAAGATTGTTAAGGGTTATGTCCATGAAGTGGTGAACAGCAAATGATTGAGTGTCATGGATGGCTTATATATTATAAAATGTACTGTGGAGAATTTTTGTAACAATGTTTCCCTCAACGTATTTAGAAAACAAGATTGGGCTTTTATGAAGAGATTTGTGTTATGCCAACATGTGTTCAAATTACAATTCAATTCTTGAGCAGACTTCAAACTCTAAAAGTCATGCTTTGTTTTACAATGATAACCTGGATTGACCTCCAAGGCTGTGGTCTTCCTTTAGTTAGAATCTTTTCCAAAGTTTACTTCTGAAAGGGAAAATTAAAATGCCACAGTCACGTTTTGATTATATTGGATTACTTCAATAAAATACAATTTCTACTATGGATCTGATCCATCTTAATATTTAGGAAAAAACAAAGTATGATAAAAGTGTGAAAGTTTTGGGAGGTCATCATTTTGAATTTGGTTTAGACTATCTTAAAAAGGAAATTGGTACAAGTACCAATTAGTTAAAATGTAGTATTTTTGGTATATATCAAAAACTACAAAGCTGAATGAACCATTGGAAATGCTTTACATTTCATTGTCCAGATGTTTCCAAATAGTTTCCAAATTGAAAATAAATTGGCCATTCCAAAGAATTCATTGTAATTTGAATACTATTTGTAGTTGTACAGGACTAGGGTGTTCAATTTGAGTCTTCCACCAAAAGACAAAAATGAAACAAACAAAAAGCAAAAACAGAAAACTGGACACATCAGTGATTTTCATGTATATTTATCTTCAAGCATTTTCAAAGCAGAGATGCTATATTAACAACAGAAAGATGACTGTATGTTACTCTCAAACATCTTCAATATTCATCATTTCCAGGGAATACATGTCAGTGGGGGCAATACTTCGAATCATGTGTAAGTCACACTCAAGAAGATCAAGCCTCTACAGTCGAGAAGCCACCTTACTTCCTTGCACTGCCAACATCAGGGTTTGGTTTTCAAACATTGAGATGTGATTTCACTTACTTGTTGGTCTTTTACTTGATACTGAGTTAACGCAGATTCAAACTGGTCCTCTATTGATTTCAGCAGTAGGTACGTTGGTATAATATGGGGCAGTACTGTCTTCTAAGCAAATTCTTCAATGGTATCATAGAGGTAAACATAGCTAAGTGCTAAATGCCTGGCCTTTTTAAATAAATGCAGACCTACCTTGATTCTCACAATAAACCTGTATTTCCACAGGACAATGTTTTCACACAATGTAAGGCAAAACAGGTATTAAATTGCTTAACAGAACTCATGTTTAAATAATTAAAACTATTTGTGTTTAAAGCTATTTGCAGATTTATTAGAGAAACAAATACAAATATGCATTTCTACAGAACTGTTTTTTTTTTCCAAAATGAGCTTAAAACTTGTTCCACAGTTTTCACTTGTTTATATATCTAATGGCAACCCAAGTATTGGCCTCTGCACCACTTTTAATGAGACAATTGCCCTTCCATCGCAATTATAAAAAACTATTTAAAAAAAAATCCAGCACATACACGTTAAATATTTTCCTTAAAAAAATAATCTAATCAAAATATTGAATACTTTAGATTTAAACAATATTTTATTTACAAATCTGATTTGATGTACTTTATTAATTATACAAGGTAATGCTTCAATTTTTCAAGAACATTTGTTTTTTGTTTTTATAGACCAGTGGAATGACATCCTATCTAGTAATATGCTCTATACTTCATTTTTTCAAAATTAATACAAGTTTCTGATACTTTCTTTTTTGTAAAAAATGTTATTTAATTGGGGCACATATCTGATGAAACAAAAAATAACATGCATAATTCCAAAAACAATTTTAAAGTAATGATACTTACCCTTTATGTAAAAAGACATCTATGGACAACAGTGCACAACAATATTATGTACTCATGTTTATGAGAAACCAAGCAGGAGGCAAAATGAGTTCATCCTGTTTTCTAATCATAAGCAATTTCATATGGCTGTTTGCATCATTTAAATAAAGTGTATATATTAAATTTCTAAGATTGCATTGCACTCAAAATTGTTATGTATAGCCATGCTTGCCCTGTATTTGATGATCAATGAATTTCTTCTACTAACAGAGTAACTGGTCTCAAATTGTGTATGTGATGTGGAGTGTT